ACATTATATTTAGGTAATAAAACTTATACATTATCTTATTTAAAAAAGTTAAAAACGCTACATTTATCATATGGCACATAAAAAAACTGAGAAAAGAGAATGCAAATATCGATTCAAAATGTTAAATAGATTTTTATGAATCTTTCATTCAACGTTTTACTAAGTCATAGACTAATACTAATGAAAGGATTTTATGTAACAGAAACGATGGCACGAGTAGAATACTTAATCCTACTTCTCGGGGATTTGGAAAAAAAGCTCAAAAAGATCAAAGAGCCCGCAAATTATTTGAATGAGAAATGACTGAGAAAACTCACTGCAAAGTTTACAAAATTAAAGAATTGATAAATGGAATTAAAAAGGATGAAACATTACGAAAGGGCGGCACAGCCCTATGTTCCAAGTCATTATATTGGCCCTCCTGATCATCTCTCATAAAATCCTTTCAGCAATACGATTCTATAGAATGTTTAGTGAAAATGTTAAACTAAACAGATTTTTTATGAAAATTTCTTTAGTTTAACATTTGACACCAATCTTTGCATACTCTTTTAATAATACAGTACCTGAGAAATATACATTAACCGTTTTTATGTAAGTCCACCTCGTGACTCTTTACTCTGAACTGGCCTAGTTGTTATTACTAATTGCGTAAGATTTATTTCTGATTATTATTTTTGCGCTGTTCTTTTTTCTAAAATTACGCTCTAAACAATAATTGTTGTTTTTATTAGTCTGTTATCATCGAATTTACGAATTACATATGCAATTGTGTTAAGATGAAATATGATCGGATCATTGCGCATTTCTGCCACCAATAAATTTATCAAGTATACATAATTTTTTGTGTAATTCTAATTATAATTTTAGATAATCAAGACTACTTCATTATATGTTGTTTACATACAGTCTAATCATTTTTTACTGTACATTACATATTGTATAATGCGCATGGAGTAATTATAAACGCAATTATATTTCTCGAGACACATACGAAATTAGGACAACAAATTAGGTAGATAACCTTGATATATCCATTATTGGTATATCTGTCGCAGCCTTTTTATGAAATTAACCTTTTCACGAAAAAGCTAATTTTTATGAAAATGGTACCTTTTTGCGAAATCAACGACAGTTCCTCAATTAGGCAGACGCACTTAAGCTTTTCGTGAAAAGACTAACTCACATTAGCCTTATTGCAGTCTAGACAGTCCGCTTGGAATATTTCTAACCTATGAAGACAGTGGGGTGTGAGAACAGTCTTTTTAGAGCGTCTTTTTACTAGGCTGCAACTTCTAGGTTAGGCCCCAAGCGGATAGGATATGTTATTTCTTTTTTGTTCGGGGCGGCATAGCCGTCCACATGACAGATTTCCTAACTTCAATAGTTGTCAACTTTAACGCTCAATATCTCACTTCGGGACAGTTCTCGTCTTTCTTCTGTCAGATTTTTTTCATTTTATGGTAAAAGGGTTCTGCAAAAAGGCTAGACGTTTTGTTAGCTTTTTTGCAGAACGTCATCATTAACCAATTATTAACCAATAAGGTTGATGTGAGTTAGTTTTTTCACGAAAAGCCTAATTGAGAAACGATCGTTGATTTCACAAAAAGGCGCCGTTTTGCGGCTTAAAGACTAGCCTTTTCGAGAAATGATTAATTTCGCAAAAAGGCTGCAACATATCCATTATAATACAATCAGTCAATCGCAATATATCGCACATACCTATACAATATTACAGTTTAAAATTTCTGAACGTCTTTAACAATAACTTCCTTTTCCTTTTTTTCATTTAGGAATAATTGTTCCTTTGCGATACGCTTGCACAATCGAAACGTCTGCAAATAAATTGAATCTTTATATATTATATTATAATATATACATTTCGGATCGAATCTATTTTTTCCTTAGCCCTTTCTGAGTTTAAATTTATTTTTGTGATTAATTGTCGACGGTGGTAGCCAATCTTGTTTAATGAGGTCAGCCCCTTTTTCACCGATCATAATGACAGGAGCGTTTGTGTTACCACTGCATATCGTCGGCATGATAGACGCATCGATAACTCGAAGACCCGCGATACCGTAAACCCGCAATCTAGGGTCCACTACGGCTGTAGGATCAGTTGACGGTCCCATTTTAGCGGTACCTACAGGATGGTAAATTGTCATAGAAATATGTCGAATATGACATTCCCAGTAAGCATCGGTGCCGAATTTGAGATGTTTACATCCCGGAAGCTTGACACGATGAAGTTTTGAGCCAAATTGTTTAAAGACTTTTGCCTCGCTGACTTTGATCGCAAACTTCGCACCTTCCACCAAGGTGGCTATGTCCATAGGATCAGAAAAATAATTCGCATTGATAATAGGATGGTGAAAAGGATTGGAACTTCTCAAACGTATAGTGCCACGAGACTTAGGCCTTAACAGAAGAGGCATCAGGGTCCAAGCGTCTCGATTGTTAATTGGTCTGTAGACGGTGTTGTATACTTCGTCCGTTAACCCTAAAACTTTCCGAACTTGTACTCCCGCGTCAGAATTAATGGAGGCTGGCGCCATGTGGAATTGCAGGTCCGGATAATCGATAGAGTGATTGGCATACTTTGTATTTACGAAGGCGTAACCTTCAACGCCACCCAAGGTCGTCATGGGACCTCGGCCGTTAATCACATAATGCATCATCATCGGAACCGGCTGAAAACGATCTTGAACTATACTGACTGGTTTATCAACCAAAAACGTCAAACCGCCCATTCCTATATGATCCTGAAGATTTTCGCCGACTTGAAGATCTTTGATAACAGGAATACCAACATGTTGTAGATGTTCCTTCGGTCCGATCCCCGATAGCATCAAAATTTGAGGACTATTAATGGCACCTGCTGACAATATCACTTCCTTCCGTGCTCTCACTATTTGTCTGCGACCATTCCTAACAAACTCGACGCCAGTCGCTCTCATGGTTAACGGATCGATCACGATTCTCGTCACATGACTATTCATAGCTGTATGAATGTTCTTGCGTAATCGTACAGGCCGCAAGAAAGCCTTCGCGGTGGAACATCTGCTTCCCCTGCGAATAGTTCCTTGAGATATCATAAAGCCCGTCTGCTTTTCGCCATTTATGTCCCTGTTTTCGTATCCCAATTCAATGCCTGCTTGAATAAAAGCAACCACTAAGGGAGTCTTCCACGGCGATTCCTGTACTGTTAGGTAGCCACCGGTCGCGTGATATGGACTTCTCCGCAAGTATGGATTCCGATTGTCTTCCGATTTTTTGAAATAGTAAAGAACTTGGTCATATCCCCAACCGGGATTACCGAGCGATTCCCAATGATCATAGTCTTTTTTATTACCACGCACATATAACATGTAGTTAAAAACACTGCTTCCACCGATTACTTTTCCTCTAGGCCAGTTACAACGACCGCCCTTCATAGCCAAACAAGCTTTACCTGTAGCCTCAGTCTTGTACTTCCAATCTAACGTGGTTAACTGCAAGTATGCAGCCAGAGATGGCACGTCTGTAATTTCGTTTTCATCTGGGCCGGCCTCTAATAATAGCACATTCCAGTTTGGTATCTCCGATAGTCGACTAGCAATTACCGCTCCAGCCGATCCGCCTCCAATTACAATAAAATCGTAATCAGAGTAGAGAGGGTGCCTGTCGATGAGTCGACTCTCAGGATCCAGTTGATCGTAACGATAGTAAGAAAGACCCGCAATTAACAATGGTATGAGCCATAAACCTGTACCCATTAAGCCGATAGCGCTCTTCAAGGCTGACGTCACTACTATCGCACTGAAAACCATTTTGGCGAAAATATAACCCTGCCTTGCGAATTTTTATTTTTAGTTTAATATCGCTGTATTATTGAATTTCATCGCTTGTAATGGAACGTTGTAATAGAGGTTCTATCTACTGATCTTTTCAGTCTTGCGAACATTGAAGGATACGTCGATGTTTATATCTTTTATGACGCTTCCATTGATTTCGATGAATCCCTTCCATACTGCTTTGTTCTGTAATAATAATAATAATAATAATAATGATAATGATGATGATGATGATGATAAAATAGAATTGAATGAAAGCTAGCACTGGATAGCAAATATTAGAATTAGGTAACACGCATTAAGGAAAGGAAGTTCTTACATTTGATGAAATATAAGACAAGTCTATAATATACATGTAATACAAAAATTAATAATATCAATATTATCTAAAAAAAAAAAAAAAAAAAAATTTAAAAAATTATTGACTTTTACCGTATCATTTTGAAGATATTTAATTCTAAATTTTTAGAATTTGACGTTGAAGGTATTTTTATTTTGTAATTATTCTCTTTTTTAAAATTGAGACACTTGCATATAAGGCAACAATTTAAAAATTGTTATAATTATAAAGTAAACACTTAAATTTATTCTCCTAAAGTTTCATTTAAACTGACTGTACAATTTTACAAGAAATTTATATTTTTTAATGAAAAAAGCTAGAATATAATGTCTCAAATGAACGATGTAGTGTACATCAAATGAGCATCTTACAACTTTTATTTTGTCATTTTGAAAATATTTAGTAACATATAAAACTAACAATGATTATGTATAATGACATAAGATATTGTTAGTAATCTTCTTATTCCATTATTTTAATCGTTTTACATATTTTTATGAATAAACCGTTTATTGACTAGGAAGTAGCGCGAGAACTTCCTTAAATTTTTCTCAAAATTTTGATCTAGATTTTACATATGTTGTACATATGAGAACAAATTTGTTAATTTTTAATTTATTAATTATTTTTTAAATCGCAGAACTTGGAAAAATTCGGAATTATCAACTGTTATTACTAGTACCAAAAAATGTCGAAATCCATTGAAGAATGTAATGAACTTCGCTCGTGGCGACATGAAATGGAAATAGTAATATGTTTCTAATCACGGAAGGAAGAACGGTTACGCGCGATATGGAACAAGGAAATGCCAAAGTTTCTTAATGAATTAAAGACTATCGAGTCCCATTAAAGCATGGCTAGCGTTTAATTTAATAAGATCCACGATAGCCGCATAACGCAAGCTTCAATCCACGTGTAAATTGAATCAGTAAACGGGGCACGAAGTTCCTTGTTATGTCCCGATCCGCCGGAAGAACGAGATGGTGATCTCATAACGAGAAAGGAGAAAGTGTTTCACCGGTATAAACCTCTGACTTGTTTCTTTTTACAAGACAACTCGTGAGTTACGTTATGTTACCTCTTCCGTTTCTTCTCTCTCTCTCTCTCTCTCTCACACGCGCGCGCGCGCACACACACATTTTTTCATTGGCCTTATCTAACTCTATCAGGTATTCGAAAACATCTTCGGTTGTTAAATAGGTCAGTGTCAATATATGTATTAACTCATGTAATTTAGCAGTGCGAGAAAATTCTTACGAATTACGAGAGACGGAAGTATATGTATTTAAGGATGTATTTGCAATAATGATGAAATTGCAAATATATCCTTGATCTATTGATCATTAGTTGGCAAGAAACAGACGATAGGAATTTCTATTTAAGATTACTATTCTAGTATAAATTTCTTCAAATATATAGGGACTCTCTCTTTCTCTCTCTCTCTCTCTCAAAAATACAAGTAAGTTTTTGAAAATTCTAGAAAAAATCAATTTTAACAAAAAAAAAAAAAGATACAGAAGGGAGGATATAGGAAAAAGAGATAAAGATTTTTAATTTATCATATTTGTAAGATATTGCATGAAAATTGTATATACGTACTTGTAATCGTTATAGGATAATTCCAATTTCGTAATTTCCGGTGAGCAATTTCTATGTTTCATGTATTCCTTCTGAGTCTCTTAAAGACCTTGAAAGATTTCCTCTTTGGTGCAGAACGATGAGAATGATTGGAATAGTACTTTTGGAGTACTATATGGTAGTACGGGAACATTAATACTATTGATGCGTGCGCACTCAGCAACTTCAACGCTCTGTAATATATATATTTAAGAAATATATATATATAAAATTAATTATATAATTCGTTTACTTTATTTTGTGAACGAACAGAAAGTATCGGTAAATCGTTATGAATATATTTTGCAAATTTGCCAAGCGAATTTGATCAATGCTCTTAATTGTATAGTAAATTTTCAAAAATTATGTGTCGTTTTTTAATGTACAGAATATAAGCGATTTTATGGCATTGTCGAGTTATTTCGATGATAATAAGAAAAAGGAAATTGTGAGAGGTACGAGAAAAAGAAGAACACGCTTGGCATTTTATATTACGCACGGAAAGCGACGCGGAAGTTGCCTTTACTTTTCCTGAAATCGCTCGTTAGACCTCGGACATCGTTATGGTAAAACTAAAGTTAAAGTTTTAATCGATAATATTTTTTAAATAATCTGAAATAATATATATATTGGTTCTTTGGTAATATTATAATTTAAAAGATAATAGTGCAATAATATATGCATTTACAAATATAATAATGTTATTAATGCTAGCATGTATATATGTATATATACATACATATGTAACGGGGTTTTTTTTGTTTTTAATAATACCGGTAAATTTAAATTTCTTAACATAAAATTTTATCAAAGGATGAATATTAATTATACTACGTTACGTTAAACTATATAAAGTAATTAATTTTGAAGAAAAATATGTATAACATACACGCGTCTCAGAAAAAGATGTTATGATGTAGTTTTTAAGATGGAAACGAAAAAGCGTAAAGAAATATCACCAATTAATCGGTGAAAGTTTTTCAATATTCGTCAATTGCGACTTCACATGGAGGAGTACAAATTTGTGAATTACGTAATAGTTTTCAGTAGACAATTCGTCCCAAATACTTTTAGTGAAACTGTGAAAACATTTTCTTCTACATGATCTTATTGTGTGGATCAACTATGGTTTAATAATTTCTTGCGCATTTGCGGGATAATTACTTTCTACATATGAATTTTACATAAATTTTTTTTTAAAAAGTACAACAAAAAGTGTAAAAAGTGCAACATGAAAAAATATGTAACGATACAGTGGTAATAGTATGAAATATATAAAATATTCAATAATTTGCAGAGAATTGCAATTATCGCGATAAACTAAATTTTTATTTAAAAAATAAGAAAAGAGTAAAAAGCATAAGCTAATCTTATTTTATTATTTATGTTTTTATGAAAAATTTGTCCAAAAAAGAATATACTTTGTTCTAAGTACAGTTATGTGTGTGTATTGTACACACACACACACACACACACACACACACACACACACACACACACACACACACACACACACACAC